CCTTCCCATGTGTTTGATCATAGTCAAGGCTCAGTATGGCAACTTTCCAAATGCCCACTGTTATTATTTTTATTTATTAATTAAAATATACCTCACCTAAAATACTAAAATAATAATAAAAATGTGATAAACACTGGATAGTCTGATAAAGCAACTAGTAATACTAATACAGGGAATGCACCTCTAAACAGTACAGGAGAAAAAAACACATCTTCAACTGGCACCTATTAGAACCAACTAGAAATTGTTCTGGGTGCCCTAGAACCATGGCAGCACAAGGATATGCATGGTGAGTTCTCTGGAGAGGAAAGTAGTTTTGTGAGTCTACTGGGAAATGCAGGGGAATGGAGACATCGTTAAACGTTAGAGCAGAGGTGTCGAACTCATTTGTTATGAGGGCCAAATCTGGCATAAATGTCACTTTGTTGGGCTGGGTCATGTGTGCCATAAAAACTAAAGCCATGCACCAAAGATATAAACTTTACAAATGACACAGGCAAATTGATTTACTGGGAAATCCACAAAACCCCCATAAATGTATTTAATCACATGCAAGACTAGTTTGTTTCCAAGGGATACCATAGGGGGGGGGGTGTATCTTACACTTTCATACAAATAAGTTATTTTTGTATATATAGCACTTTTAGGAGATGAGTCATCTTCCTTGCAATTAAATAAGGTAGTTTTTCAGGAAACCCCCCCCCCCCCCAAACACCCCCCCCCAGCACCTGCGCACCCCCATCTTTTGCTTTTGGTTTCCTCTCTTCCGCCATCCTACCCCTAAGACTCTTGAGGAGGCACAACAGACTCCCCTCTCCACCACCCCATCCCCACCACCACCACCAACCCTGTGAGGTGGTCCAGGCTGAGTGACTTGTCCTGGGTGACCCAGACGACAGGTTCCTGGCTTGGGGGTGTGTGTGATCTGAACCTGGCTCTGCCAGATCTCTCCACTGCCAGTTCCTATCCATCCTGCATTTCCCACAGAAGCGGTGGGGCTGAGGGGAAGGCCTGATAGAGAGGCTGTTTCTGAAACTTCCAAGGGGTGCTTTCTGTCCTCCCACAGACCTGGGCTGAGAACAGTGTGGGGGAGAAGGGAGGTCGGCATCCTCCACCTCCTCCAGCACTAGCTCTGCCTCCCAGTTCTGCAGCTGTTCACATTTGCAATGGCAACAGCAGAACCCTTTCCCCCCTTTTTCCCTTTGCTTCTGAGGCTGGGACATCTTTCCCCTCAGAGTGGCATGCACAAGACAGCCCAGTTTCCTCCCAATCCACATGCCGGCCCTCCCCCTCCTCTTGCCCCTGCTGGCCCCATTCCTTCATTAACAAACCGCCACTCCACATGCCCATTCCCGCCAATCCCCCTCATGGTTGTTGTTTAGTGCAGTGGTGGCAGCGCCAGCAGCTTGGCTCCAACAATCCTCGCTGAGCTGCAGTCAGAGGAGGCAGGGGGGGAAACACCACTCATCCTCTCTCTCTCTCTGCCTTTGCTGCCATTCTCCTCTCCACTATTTTACCTCAGCCTCATAGTCCTGCTCCCTAGCAATTTCCTTTCTATTTCTTGACAGCTTTGATCACACACGTCACTGCATGCACCCGCTTGCCTGCCCCCCCCCCAGCAGCCTCCTGCTTTCCCTCCCTTGTACCAGTTGCTCGCAGTCTGGATAAGAGCCATGGATGGGCTGCTTCTGGCCCCTGGGCCGTATGTTTGACACCCCTGCATTAGAGCCTGTCTGGTCGGTGCTGGGAAGCTGTAAGCAGCAATGGATCACAGAGAACTGGACTTTCCAAATGTCTCTTATTTAAGTCATGCCTCTCCATTTAAAAGGCTCGTCTATTTTGGAAATGAACAGCTTGATAAAACAGAGCAGATGCATCTTATTCAAAACATGTCCATTCCTAGAATACTATAAAACTGACATCATGGCTTCTTACATTGTTTCAGCTTAACACACCTAGAAAATTACTTAAGAGGTAATGTAAGATCTGTGATTGTGCAAACTGCAGTTGACACTGAAAAACAGTTACGACAAAATGTTCATCAAAAAGAATGCTTTGCGTAACTCAAAAGTGTGCATACTTTTCTACATTAGAGGGCTCGTCCAATAAGAAATACCCAAGTGGCTTGTTTTGTAGCCACTGTTCCGTGAGGCAATGGTGTCCATACCAGACTTTCTAAGGCTGAGGGGAGGACAACTTCTTTGAAGCGCATTGAGTGGGCCCATAAGTGAATTATCTTGCCTCTGCAGGACCCTAACAGTGTAAGATTTTAGTCACCTTTCTCCTCAAGTCTATTGAGGGTTCCTCCCTTTGCAGTGTTTGTTTCCATGGTCATCCAAGAGTCATCCAAGAGCCACTTGGGAACATATAGAAGGAGTGTAGGGGGGAATAGAAAATATATCTGCAACTTCACTGATGTAACTCAAATACAGCTAAAATTCTTGAGCACATGTAAAGGGGAAAGATGGTGCTACAATAGTTTCCCGAAACTAGGGTTGCCAGTAGGGATGGGCACGAACCGGGAAAATGGAGTTCATGGTTCGCGAAGTCCCACAAACCATGAACTGGGACAAACCTTTCCCACTTTGTGGACTGGTTTGGGTTCGTGAGGTTTGTGAATCTCTCCCCCTCCTTTCTTCTGGGAGTAGCTCCCCGAGGCCAGCAGAATGGAAAGGAGATCTTCCCTCCCTCCTTCCCTCCTTTCTGCTGGTGGTGGCTCCCTGATGTCAGCAGAATGGAAGGGGGGGGGTCTTCCAAAACCCATTTAAAGGGAACGTTCCCTTTAGATGGGTTTTGCAAGTGGACGCCATGTGGGAGTGCAGTTCAAGGGGAGAATTCATCACTTCCGGGTGAATTGACGGCTTGGATTCCACTCCCACGTGGCACCCACTGTCAAAACCCATTTAAAGGAAATGTTCCCTTTAAATGGGGTTTGCAAGTGGGGGTTGTGCAGGAGTGGAGTTCAAGCAGTGAATTTGCCACTTCGACTTTGCTCCCACGCTAAACAGGGGGGACAAAACTGACTCCTTTAATGGCTGCTGGCCATTTCAACCTAAAAGCTGATGCCTGACCCGCCGAGCTGCTAGGTTTAAATGGCTGGCAGCCGTTTCAGGGGTCGGTTTTGCTTCCCCTTGCTTGGAAGCAGGGGGAGCAAAACCGACCTGTTGAATGGCTGCCAGCTGGCCCACAAACCAGTCCCACAGACCACACGAACCTCTGTGGGAAATGGTTCCATTCCTGGGTTTGGTTTGTGACAAACCTTGGCTTGCAAATTGGTTCATGCTCATCCCTAGTGGTGAATTTGCCACTTGGATTCCACTCCTGCACAGTGCCCACTTGCAAAAGCCATTTCAAGGAAACATTCCCCGCTTCCAAGTGGGGGGAACGAGAGGGATTGCTGAAATGGCTTGCATCCATTTCAGCTCTCCCTTTCACTCCCCTCCTCTTGGATCCCTGAAATTGAAAGGAAACCTTTAAATGCCTTCTCCGTTCACTTGCGAGTCATGCCACCCCAGCGGCACAGCTTGCAAAAACCATTTAAAGGGATCCCTTTAAATGGTTTTGGTGGTGCAGGTTGGAGAAGGCATTTAAAGAGATTGCAGTCTCTTTAAGTGCCTTCTCCAACCCCCGCTGCCAGCGCCAGCAAATCTGCCGACACAAACCAAATGAACCCACCTGGGACGTTCATGGGAGGTTCGTGGGGGCTTATGAGGTGGGATGGCATGAACCGAAGTTCACAAACCATGAACTGGGCCCGGTTCACGATGAATTTCGGTTTGTAATTTGGTTTGAGCCCATCCCTAGTTGCCAGGGCCCCCTTGGCTGCTGGCCGGGGTTGGGGGAAGTAAGGATTTGGGGGTAGAGCCTGGGGATGACAGGGACATTGGTGGTGTACAGTGCCAAAGAGCCCAGCCCCCAAAGCATCCATTTGTCTGGAAGAACTGATCTCTGTAGTCTGAAGATGTGCTGTAATTTTGGGGGTCCCCAGGTCCCACCTGGTGGCTGGCATTTCTACATGAAATAGTGGATTCTGGTGACTAGTAGACATTTGAAAACTTACTGCATAGCTTCTGTAACTGTTTGGGGAAGCTTGACTAATGTCAAGACTGCCAAGAGCCTCCATGCCCCCCCTCCCGCAAATATTCCCTCTATCTCCTTTCCATTCCGAGAAATCAGACACACACACACATACACACATTTTTTTAATGGAACCAGTAAAAAGCTGTTATGCCCCAATGGCACCTTGCCTGGCTGCTTGGACCCTTAGGGTGATCCTGGAATATTGTCCCCTTGTCCCCCACCAGCAACCCTGGTCACTGTTTTGTTTCCTTGGATGTCCAAGGCAGGGTGATAATTGTAGACACATGGTTGCTGGCTGCAAATAATCCTCTCTTCGTGTGATTACACGCACTCTGCTGTGAGATTTTCTACAACTACATTGTTGTTCCTGATTGTTTGTATCCAGGGCTATTTTGGGGCAGGAACGCACAGGAACGGAGTTCCGGCTGGCTCCCAAGCTGGCCACGCCCAGCAGGAACTCATTAGCATAATAGGCCACACCCAACAGCAGCAACTCATTAGGATTGGCTACAATTAGGGGTGTGTGGCCTAACATGCAAAAAGCCCTGGGTTTTGACAACAAACAAGGTAAAGAGAATGAGAAGCAAAAGGTGGGTGTGGCTGGATGACCACACTTCTGGTAACATGGGGGTGTGGCCTAATATGCGAATGAGCTGTGCTGTCAGGGTATGGCCTAATATGCTAATGAGTTCCTGCTGTTGGGTATGGCCTATTATGCTAATGAGTTCCTGCTGGGCTTTTTCTACCAAAAAAGCCCTGTTTGTATCAACCTAAAATTTACCCAGCTGGTGTCAGAATACTGTGCAAATAATTGGATGCCTGAACCTAGAAATGGTCAACATGGAAGCATAGATTGGGTGGCAATGGAGTCACTGGAGTTTGCTGCCTCTTATCATGTCTCCCTCCCTTCCTGTTCTCAGGTTTTCTGCGCTGCACCATGCAGCCCTGGTTGGAAGCCTGGAGCTTATTTCCTTGCTGTTGGAAGCACAAGCCACTGTGGATATTAAGGACATCAATGGTAAGCAGGTTGTTTATCTCAGAATCCTCCCTGCTCTTGCTGAAGGAATCGAAAACCTGTTGTTGTCCCAGCAAACAGTTTGGGGGAATGACCGTATGCTATGAAGGGGAAAATACCTACTGCTGCTATATAACAGGAAAAAATATTTCCAAGGCAATACAGTTGGATTATTGTTTGGGTATAATTAACAGGAAGCTTCCCACCACGGATCCTCTGTTCCTACAAGATCTATGATGGGACTGGCAAAACTAGTAACTCAGATGTTGTTGTGCACTTAGCTTTGCTTTACTGGGCCTAGTCCCATAGTGTGGCCTTGTAATTACCACTGTAGGCTGAATATCTTCCCTCCTCACACTGTCTCCCTACAGGAATGCGCCCACTACACTATGCTGCCTGGCAAGGGAAGGTGGAGCCAGTGCGCCTACTGCTACGGGCAGCTGCTTCAGTCAACATGGCATCACTGGATGGACAGATCCCATTGCACCTTTCTGCACAATATGGCCATTATGAGGTGGTGAGTATTAGACAATCTGGAGCAAAGGATGCTGCATCTCTTGATCAGTTCTGCACCATGGCCACAAGTCCCAAAGCTTTCTGTCTTCACCCACCACGACCTTAGTCATTTTCTCATGTGTTTTGCCCATAGCTGAGAACTATGCTGTAATACCACCATGTTAGCAAGTGTGGTTTCTTTTGGAAACTGTATTGAATCACAACGATCACTCAGTGACAAAAGTAATCTTGGTTTGAGAAGGACGAAGAATCTGTGATACTATACAACCTGGGTTCGAACCATAAATAGGGCTGTATATAGTTTGCACTACAAAAATTGACACCATCAGTGACTAGAATAGTCCATATTTAGTCAGTTTCATTAGGGTCAAGCTTCAGTACTAAACTTCACTAAATTTCGGTACTTTATAATGAGGACCAGCAGGCACATAGTCATGGTGGGGCACTTAGGGGCATGTGCCTTGTCACTCCTGGCCAAGGCCCCACAACTCCCACTGCCCCTGGCCAATGTTCCCTCTAAGCAGTGGAGTCTTGTGAGCAAAAATTCTACTTTGTGAGCTACTGGCATTACAGTTGTGAGCAAGTGATTTGACTACTGAATAAATTAGTTTGCTCTGGAGCTCTCCTTCCTGAGCCAAGACAAAAATCTGTGAGCTGGAGGCTAAAAAACTATGAGCTAGCTCACACCAACTCAGCTTAGAGGGAACACTGCCCCTGGCCATGCCCTTACCTGCCAGCCCGGCAATGGACATGGAGGCAGAGGTTGCATAGCTGGAGCGCAGCTGGAGTGCTTGTTCACCAGCCCCGGCCAGAATGCATGAAGGCCCACCTCCTCCACCACCTCCTGCACCCCTCTCTTTCTCTCTCCCTCCTCCTCAGCACCCTCTGGCCCCAGCTGTGGGCCAAGCTACAGAGCGCAGAACTTCAGTGCAGGGGGCTACAGCCATTACCCACTCAGTCAAGAGGCAGAGATGAATGGGGGTTACCCCCAGTGTGCTCCTGCGCTCTACTTGGGAAACATTCAGCACCCTCAGAGTTATTCTGGGGGGGGGCAGTGAGTTCTGCTCAGTACCTCCCCCCACTCTTACAAGATGAGCAACAGAACTTGCCCCTCACGAATTACAGCCACCCCTTGTCCCCTCTTCATCCAAGCCATCAGGAGACCTGTGGCTCACCTTCTTCGGAGACCTCCCCTCCAGTGCTCACTGGCTTTACAAGGCTGCCAGTGAGCTGCTGAGAGGGCAGGGGGTTGCTTATTCTTCAGCCCCTGAGTCTTGGGGAGACAGAAAGTTAAGATTTTTTTTTTTAAAAAAAAAACTTGCTGGTTGAGCATTTCACAGGATTTTCCAATGCCCCACCAACCAAAAATTTTTGACTACACCCCTGAGGACCAGAAACCTGCTTTATATTTTAATATAAGCTATGATTCTCTAGAGCTTGGCACTGTATCAGATAACAAATCCTGTACAAACATAAGAAATCTATAGCTATCAGGAGTGGGCTTTATGTCCACTATAGAAAGCAGTTTCTGCTTCCCTTCCCGTACAGGAGGCATATGAGAACACCATGAACTTACCTTTACTCTGTAGTTATTACCCTAAAGAAGGACTTGAACAATTTGAACAGTTTGTTCTTTAACAAACTGGAAGTATTTCAGAACCTCCGACTTAGGCCTCTCAGGTTAGACCAAAAGGGTAGAAGAGTAGCAAAGGCAGGTCACCAGGCCGACTATGACCAGGAAAGTAATTATGTTGTGCTGTGAGTTCCTAGCAGGGCCTCTCTTTCAGAAGAGCTTTAAGATTTCTCTGTGCAGATCACTAGGAAATGTGGAGATGGTTTCTTGGACTGGATGGGGGGGCAACTGCAGGATTTGACGGTGTTTGAAGCCGGAAAGTAGCAGAATTGTTTTTATAGAATATGTTCCCGTTTATTTACAGAGAATATATACATACACAGCTTGTAGCAAATCAGGATTTCGACCAACGCAGTGCTACGCATAACAGCAGTAACCATATAGGCAGTGCTTGACTAAGAACCAGTTACAATATATACAAGTACAGACCAATCAGAGTACAGTCCTGTACAATTGCTGAGTCACTGTGACACCTACAGATATGATGCAATTTAGTGTCATATGATCACTCAGCTGTCATCCTAGATTGTCTGGATCTAAACCTCATGTCTTACATGACTTTGCTGTGATCTTGTATATACAGACAGGATTTTGTATGTATTTTCTTTCCATGTTTTGGCCCTTCCTCCTGCAGTCAGAGATGCTGCTCCAGCACCAGTCCAACCCATGCCTCGTCAACAAGGCCAAGAAAACCCCCCTGGATCTGGCTTGTGAGTTTGGAAGGCTGAAGGTAAGCAGAAGCTGCTGTTGCTGTTGAGGAGGATACATAGACCCAGGTCCCAAGGACACTGCCGAAAAGTGATCTGACCCTAATCCACACCCCTGTGCATGAAGGGTTTACTAGTATAACCATATGAAAAGTTTACTACCTGTGAAGAATTTGAGAGCCAGTGTGGGGCAGAGTAGTGAACTGGGCCTGGGGGTACCGAGATTCAGATCTCTGCTCACTTTGAAACTCACTGGGTGACCTTGGGCCCTCCATGAAGATAGATCCAGGTGGGCAGCCGTGCTGATCTGAAGCAGTGGAACAAATTTAGAGTCCACTGGGGCACCTTTAAGACCAACAAAGGTTTATTCAAGGGATGAGCTTGTGTGCCTGGCACATGAAAGCTCATCCCTTGAATGAACCTTTGTTGGTCTTAAAGGTGCCCCAGTGGACTCTACATTTGTTCTTGGGCCCTCCAGTCGCTTTCAGCCTGATATACCTCACAGGATTTCTGTGAGGATGAAACAGAGGAAAAGAGAACAGAGATATATCTCATCCTGATTTCTATGAAGGAAGTGCAGGATAAAAATATAATGAATGAATTCTGCAAACCCATATTGTCCCCCTCTCTCCATGGAACTTTCCTACAACAGCATCATAATGCGATGTAAGACTGCTAGCATGGGTACATTCAGGGCTATTTTTGGGCAGGAACGCATAGGAACAGAGTTCCGGCTGGCTTCCAAGTTCGCCACGCCCAGCAGGAACTCATTAGCATAATAGGCCACACCCAACAGCAGAAACTCATTAGGACTGGCAACATTAGGGGTTTGTGGGCTAACATGCAAAGGAGCTCCTGCTACAAAAAAGCCCTGGGTTTTGACAACAAACAAGGTAAGCAGAATAAGAAGCAAAAGGTGGGTGTGGCTGGATGAGCACACTTCTGATAACATGGGGGTGCGGCTTAATATGCCAACGAGCTGTGCTGTCGTGGATGTGGCCTAATATGCTAATGAGTTTCTGCTGTTGGGTGTGGCCTGTTATGCTAATGAGTTCCTGCCCTAGCATTCCATATGGAACAATATCCCACAGTTCTTCATTACATCCCTAGCAGTCCCAACCAAGCTGAAATGACTTTCTGTGGAAGCCCCTTCATACTTTATGAAGAGTTCCGAAGGGCTGCATAGTAAGGCCTTGTGCTGGGACATAACAAAGTCTGGATCCCCACTGCATCCCGGCTGCGGGGCCTTCACCACCACTCCCACAGGAAACCAGACAGGGGCTGAGCCACTTTAATCCCTCCGGGCTAGGAAGGCAAACTGCAAGGCCAGCTGGGACAGGAGGCCTGGGATTCCAACCTGGCAATGCTGGGAGGTGGTGGCTGTGGATTCCCGGCCCCACCAGCCTTCAGGACAGGTGCAGAGTCTTCTCAACATTCCTGGGGTGGGAAGCTGAGAGGAAGAACGGCGAGACTGTAAACATGTGTGTACTTGGGAACATTAGCAGAGGGATCACATGAAAAGGAGGTGATGGAATGGCAACATTTATTTCCATCACAAGGCAGGGGGTGGTTTGAACGTCCCTTTCTGTAATACACAGGCTGTAAATAGCATAATAAATCCACCGTCTCTCTCTCACACACACACATACACACACACTGGTCCTCTGAGTGCAGACTGTACTTTCTTTGTAGGTGTGTAGGTGCTCCCTACGGGTGAGGCCAGCACGAACTCCAAGCCCTGGTAGAAAAAGACCCTGACAGAAAAAAAATGTTTTTGGCTGTAGCGACCAACTTTTCCCAGTTAACTATTCCTAGGCCCTGCACTTGTGCCCCCTTTGTAGCCCTCCCCCCCCTCCATGTAGAGAGATGCAAAGAATGCAAGACCTGCAAAGAGAGGTTGAAGGAACTGGACAGGTGCAGTCTGGGAGTGAGATGGTCAAGACAGTGACATTGAGGATAACCACCTTCCAGGGCTTTGAGAGTTTCGAAGCAAAGCAGTTTGCAGCAGGTGCCTATCCCACTTATCCCAAATATTATAAGAAGAAGAAGAAGAGAAGGAGGAAGAAGAAGAAGAAGAAGAGGAGGAAGAGGAGGAGGAGGAGACTGGATGTATACCCCGCCCTTCACTCCCCAAAGGAGTCTCAGAGCGGCTTACAAACTCCTTTCCCTTCCCCTCCCCACAACAGACACCCTGTGAGGTAGGTGGGGCTGAGGGAACTCTGACAGAAACTGCTCTTTTTTTCCAAGAACAGCTGTGCCAGAATTATGGCTTGCCCAAGGTCATCCAGCCAGGTGCAAGTGGAGGAGTAGGGAATCAAACCCGGTTCTCCCAGATTAGAGTCCGCGCACTTAACCACTACACCAAACTGGCTCTCATACTATTTACATACTTCATTTATACCCACTCCTTTCTCCCCAATGGGGATCCTAAGCAACTTATATCATTCTTTCCATTTTATCCTCACAGCAACCCTGTGAGGAAGGTTTGTCTAATAGTGTGTCATGTGTGATTGGCCTAAGGTCCCCCAGCAAGCATCCATAGCAGAGTGGGGATTTGAAGCTGCATCTCCCGGATCATAGTCCAACTGCTACAGTGCACTGGCTCTCTAGGGTGAAAGGAGTGCCATCTGCAGAGATATTGTCTCCCTTCAGGTTCTGAAAGGGACAGAAACCTCATCATTTATTTGAGAACATGCTCATCATTGGTCTTTCTGGTAATCCATGGTAATCTATGGTGTCTGAAAGAAGTACAAGATGAGATCTTTTACACAAGATCATGTAGTCATAAAAATAGCTAAGAAAATAAAGTAGGGTTCCTGCCTTCCCACCCCCACAACAGGGGCTCTGATACCTTAATAGCTGCACAACATTAATTGAATAAGGCAGGTTTCTTCCACCCTAACATCTCCAAATTGGGTAGTGCTTCACCAGTTGAATACACCTGTCACTTACCTGTTAAAGGTGCAGTAGAGCTGTCTTGCCCCAGAACAAGCAACTGACAGGACTGAATTTTTTTAAAAGGTGGTAATCTTAATTTTTTAAAAAAAACCTGTTTCTGCAAATGTATGTAATGAAATCAACAAAATAATGTGAATTGACATTGTTGATCTTTGTTAGGGAAATTCCCGGGCCATGTTCTTAGGAAAAGTATCTGCAGAAGAATTATAGGGATTTCTCACCTTGTTGTGGTCTAGTGGTTAAGAGTGACAGACTCTCATCTGGAGAACCGGGTCTGATTCCCCTCTCCTTGCACACGAAGCCTGCTGGGTGACCTTGGGCCAGTCACAGTTCTCTCAGAACTCTCAGCTCCACCTACCTCACAGGGTGCCTGTTGTGGGGAAGGGAAAGGCGATTGGAAGCTGCTTTGAGCCTCCTTAGGGTAGAGAAAAGCAGGCTATAAAAACCAAGTATAATTCTTCTCAGTGAAACTGATGGTCCTTTCAGAAGTCACATTGAATCAGCATTTAAAGCCCTATACGGCCAGGGGCCAGCATACCTTCGAGACCGCCTCTCCCCATATGAGCCCCGGAGGGCACTGAGGTTCACATATCAACATCTTTTAGTAGTTCCAGTCCCCAGGGACGTCCGGCTAGCCTCGACCAGGGCCAGGGCCTTTTCAGCCCTGGCCCCTGCATGGTGGAATGAGCTCCCGTGTGAGATCAGGGCCCTGCAGGACTTATCACAGTTCCGCAGGGCCTACAAGATGGAGCTCTTCCACCGGGCATTTAGTTGAGGCAGCGGGCATCCCCCTTTTCCTCCCTCCCAGCTTCTCTGGCCTTAGTTCTTCCGGCCCAGCTCTTCTGGCCAATTTTCATCACTGGCCTGATCTTGATTGGTCACCTGATTGTTTTATGGCTACATGGTATTTTATGATAATGATATGTAAATTGTTATCACATTGTTTTAAGTGTATTATCTAATTGTTGTTCACCGCCTTGAGCCCATTTGGGAAGGGTGGTATATAAATCTAATTAATTAAATAAATAAATAAATAACGCAGGAATGTGCATGAGCCCAGTTTATTGCCACATTTGCAAGCACTCTTTGCTCCTTTCTTCTTTTGCAAAGTGTAATGGAGGAATCCTAGTTTAAAGCCAATGGTCATTACAGGTGACATATGAATGAAAGCGGGTTAACTGGAGCTGGTTTCCCCTCCACACCACAAAACCAAGGTTCTAAACCGTAGTTTGATCCAGTTTTAGAATCTCAGGATTTTTAGGTGCGGAGAGAGAACAAACTCTGGTTACTCTACCAGCCCGCACTTCTGCACTGTGGGTGATCAAAGTTTGTTTTAAGCCACAATTCTTCCATTGTAAAGGGAGGGGAGAAGAAGAATAGTGAAGCATGTGTGGGACCATGGCAACCAGCTGCATTTGTTCACATCCTGGCTTAAAGGAATGCCTGAACATGCTCTGAATCACGTAAACCAATCATGAGAATGTAGCAGAGACACAGTGGCTATGGGCCTGATGCCTCCCGAGATGATCTACCATAGTTTCCCAAACTTATTTGGCATACCGCCCAAAGGCTGCTTTAGGTAGGTTCTGGACTCTTCTTTCTTTATGCTTCCACCACCCCCTTATTTGTATTCAACATCCCCCAATTGCACCCAAGGCTCTGACCTGGATCGTTCCAGCACCCTCAGGGGGCGGTATTGCCCACTGTGGGAACCAGTGATTCTAGCCCATTCTCTACCTCTTTGGTAAAATAGGGCAAAATGGGCCAGTACTGACTCTTGGGCAAAATAGCCAGGAATGTGGCATCCACCGTGTACTCTGTGTGCTTTCCTAAACGCCCCTCTTCTTTCCCCTCCCTCCACCCCCACCCACACTCCCGTCTGCCTTAGGTGGCCCAGCTGCTTCTGAACAGCCACCTGTGTGTTTCTTTGCTCGAGGGACAATCGAAAGACACAACTGACCCCAACTACACAACTCCTCTGCACCTGGCAGCCAAGAATGGGCACAAAGAGATCATCAGGTAACTGCTCTGCCACTGCAGGGAGAGGGGTTGGAGGTGCTGGGAGATCCTGGCTTGATGGACTAGCATCACAACGCAGGCCTTTGTTAGTGCACTTAGCTGCTGGGTCTGTTCACAACCCCCCTTTCCAACAGCATATCCTTCACAGTCTCTCAGCAGAAGGGAGTAGATCCTCTTTGCTCTGACCTCATGCTGGGAGGAAAGGAAGGGCTACCCCACACACCTCTGGCATAAAGGAAGACGACAGGGAATGCTGCATTTGCAAAGGACATACCACCAACTTTTTCCACATAAGAGGACAGAAATAACTTGCCAGAGATCCAGTTCACACATTACTAAGTCCAAGTGAATAAATGGACTTTTGGCTACACGTGTGCTGGAAGTGCCATGCTGGGAACTTAATTCTCAGGCATGCACAGGCCCAGTTCAGAATGGGCAACCAAACAGAGAGAAAAGGTCCTCCAAATGAGGGGAGGGGGGAGAATAGGGTTGCCAGGTCCTCACCTGTTGCAGAGCGGGGGAGTCCAGTCTCGTTCCGGGAGTCTATGCGCGCGCTGCAGTTACGTCACCCGGAAGTGACGCGATCACATCGGGCACGTTGGGGGCGGGGCCACAATCATCCGAGGGAAAACCATAGAGTTTTCCCTCGGATGATTGTGGCCCCGCCCCCAACGTACCCGACGTGATTGCGTCACTTCTGAGTGAAGTGCTGACGCCGGGCATGTTACGTGCTTTGAGGGTGGGGTTCCCCCTGGAGCCCGATCCGCCGGGGGCGGGTAACGGGCCTCTCGGGCGGGGGTTTCCCCGCCCCCCGGGGGGACTTGGCAAGCCTAGGGGTGAAACAAATAAGGGCCTCTAAACAGAAGGGCAGGCAGAAATGACATAAATGTCCACTGATGTAGTGGAGGCTAAGAGGGCTAGAAGGGCAATGGCGGCATGCCTGTGACAAAGCTACAAGAGCATCCTGTAGGTCATTTATGAGGACCTATGAGATGGCAGTTAGCGCCACTAAAAAAGAGTATTATGCGGCCTCAATTGCATCTGCGAGCTCACGTCCAGCCCAATTATTTAGAACGATTCAATCTTTGACTACTCTGCCCCAAGGCAGACCAAATGCCAGGGAATTGGAGATTGGCTGTGATGCTTTTGCGGGCTTTTTTGCAGATAAAGTCCTGTTGCTCTGCCACAACCTCCCTGCCACAATTGAGACAGTGAGTGAACTTGAGGCTCCATGCACGTCTTTTAGTTGAGTTTTGGATCAGTTTGCTCAGCTCAGCCTAGAGGAAGTTGGCAGAATATTCTCAACTGTACGCCCTACCACTTGCTGCCTTGATCCGTGTCCATCATGGCTTATTAAAGCTGGCCGCGATGGGCTAAGAGATCCTCTAAGGGAGATGATCAATGTCCCTCTCTGTAGGAAATTTCCCTGGGGCACTTAAGGAAACAGTGGTTCACCCTCTCCTAAAGAAACCATCCCGGGACCCAGCTGAATTGGCAAACTATTGGCCAGTCTCTAACGTACCCTATCTGGGTAAGATTATTAAGAGAGTGGTGGCAATTCAGTTGTAGAGTTTTCTGGATGACACTAATACATTAGATCCATTCCAATCCGGCTTTCGTCCAGGTCACAGGACTGAGACAGCACTGGTGGCCCTCACGGACAACCTCCGAAGGCATCTGGCTTGGGGCGGATCAGCGGTGCTGTTGCTGTTAGACCTTTTGGCGGCGTTCAACACGGTCGGCCACCAGTTACTGATCCACCACTTCGCCGACACTGGAATTCAGGGGTCTGCCTTACAATGGCTTTCCTCTTTCCTATAAGATTGGGGACAAAGGGTGGCGCTAGGGGAGCAGCTGTCTCAAAGGCACCCGCTGGTTTGCGGAGTGCCACCAGGGGCTGTCTTCTCCCCAATGTTATTTAATATCTATATGCGTCTCCTTGCCCAGATTGCCCAGAGGCATGGGCTGGGTTGTCACCAGTATGTGGATGACACTCAGCTCTATCTGTTGTTGGCTGGCCAGTCTGACTCAAGACTGGAAGATGTAGACCTGGCGTTACAGGGCATAGCTGGATGGCTTAGGCTGAGCTGCCTGAAACTGAATCCGACAAGGAGGTCCTGTGCCTGGGCCAGAGCAGTCCGGAGTCAGGGATCCCACTCCTGACCTTCAATGGGGTGCCACTGGAACCAGCTTGGGAGTGCTTTTGGATGCCTCCTTAACGATGGAGGCCCAGGTAGCAGCCACTGCCAAGTTGGCCTTCTACCACCTCTGGCTGATCAGGCAGTTGGTTCCCTTCCTCGAATGCAATGATCTGGCAACAGTGATTCACATGATGGTCACCTTGAGATTAGACTACTGCAATAGACTACTGCAATGTTCTCTACATGGGGCTGCCCTTGTCCCAAATCCAGAAGCTACAGTTGGTGCAGAATGCAGCAGCTAGGCTATTACTGGGTCTCCCCCTGAGGGAACACATTCAGCCTGCACTAAAAGCACTGCACTGGCTACCTGTAGTATACCGGGTTCGCTTCAAGGTGCTGGTTCTTGCCTATAAAGCCCTACATGGCCAGGGGCCTGCATACCTGAGGGACCACCTTTCCCCATATGTTCTCCAGAGGGTACTGTGTTCAAGATCACAAAATCTCCTCACTCTCCCCGGCCTTAAAGGTGTCAGGCTGGCCACGACCAGGGCCAGAGCTTTCTCAGCAACGGCACCACTTTGGCTGGTGTTTGGCTCCTGTGCGTGTCATCCCTCCATATAGGGGAGGATATTAGAGCAGGTGGCCAGGGTGGATTAAAGGGTCTAGGTTACTCGGTTGATGTTAAACAGTTTGCTCAAACGCTCGGCAGAAGATCGCCATCCTGCAGGGCCTGCGGAATTGTGGTAGATCCCGCAGGGCCCTGATGTCCTCCGGGAGCTCATTCCACCAAAGTGGTGCAGTTGCTGAGAAAGCCCTGGCCCTGGTCATGGCCAACCTGACATCTTTAAGGCTGGGGAGAGTGAGGAGATTTTGAGATTTTGTTGGGGGGGGAGGTTTAAGCCCCCCCCCTCCAAACACGCCATGGTCCCAGTATGAATTAGGCCAATGAGACCCTAAGAATTAAATTCTCAGTACAGAACTCACAGACCATGTTTGTCAACAGTCCATGTGTGAATTGATTAAACCTTCTGTACTTTCTCCATCAGAGGAAAACAGCTGTACCTGGCTCCTCGACTTTTCAGAAGTAATTTTTAACACCATGGTTAAGCACAAACTCTACAGCATCAAAGCTGTGACATAAATTATCACGAAACACCAGTGCAAATATATCCACAGTGTCCTACTAGTTAATCCCTCTTGCAAAACAGATAACTTCCCTGATCATTTCCTGTCTCTGCCTGCCACCCTCCTTTTTCTGTTCCTAGCCTCTCAGTTGCCGCATAGTAGACATCAGCATTTGGGCATCCAAGCCAGAGTAAGTTGTCCCACTTTTGGGGTGCTGGTACTGAATGTGGACATATTCCCTTCCTCACAGGCAGCTTCTGAAAGCTGGAATCGAGATCAACAAGCAGACAAAGTCGGGCACGGCCCTGCACGAGGCAGCGCTGTACGGGAAGACGGAGGTGGTGCGCCTGTTGCTGCAAGTAAGAGGAAAGGAAAGCCACAGTCAAGGACAGGGACAATTGCTTTTTGACCAAAAGTCTTGAGAGAGGCCACAGGCCTCAGAACGGCACTAGAAACAGGAAACAAAGAGCAGGAGTGAAAGCCCACAAGGACTAAAGGCCAAACAAGATGAGACAGTGTCCCTGTGTCTGCCCTGGGGATGTGCTGCCATTTTGTATTAGTCAGTTCCCACTGCGGAATTCCTTTTAACAGTGCCGTGGGAGCCCAATTCTGGTCAGGACTACCAGGGTGCAGGGGAAGGAGGGGCTCCTGCTTACCTCCCTACACCATTTTCCTGACCTGAAATGATCCCACGCAGGTATGTGGCAAACAATGCCCCCCGGCACCATTTCAGGTTGGCAAAGTGGTGCAGGGGGAGGCAGGAGCCTGCCCTCCCATTGCACTGCGGTGGTCCCAACCAAAACTGGGCCCCGACAGCACTGTTAAAAGGAGTTCCCTGGTTGTAATTCACTGTTATAAAATGGCAGCATGTCCTCAGGGTCGTCTTGTCAGCCCTATGTGGACAATCAATGGGTCAGTCCTAAATCGATCACATTAGTCATTAGTTCAGGCATTTGACAATTGTGGGCAAGGGAATAAAGCAATCCTAAATCACGTGAGTGAGGAAGAAATCCAGCTTCTGGTTTCTGTTCTAGAGTGGCAGGAAGCGTCTTCAAATTGCATTACATGGGGGATAGATGTTTTCTATAATTGATTTAGCACTTTTAATTAACACAGTGCTTTATTCACTTTGTTCTATTCATCAGTGCAACACCCCTGTGAAGAAAACTAGTGAAATCCCCATGAGAAGCAGATGCTCTCTGTGTGTGCAATAAACCCAAGGCTTCCTAGTGAGTTCTGAGCAGGGTTTTGAGCAGATCCAAGGCTGTTGCACCACGCTCCCTTCCGTGACTGTCCTGAACTATTTACATTTTTTATTACATTCCCATCCTGCCTTTCCTCCAAGGAGCTCACGGAAGCATCCGTGGTTTTCCATTTCCCAATTTGATTCCTGCAACATCCTTAGTGAGGTAGGTTAGGCTGAGAGAGAGGGTAAATGATCCAAGGTCAACCAGTGACCTTCATGGCTCAGTGGTGAATTGACCCTGAACATAATCTGTCCTTCTCAATTGTCCACTCTACTAGGTTGTCCTACAGCCCTTTGCCTCAGCTCAATCTTTCCCAGATTATGGGAAAGTGGTTTGGTGGAGATTGGGGCCCTTGTTGCTCTGAAGGACTGTGCTCTAGAAGGTTGCCTGGCATGTCCGACCAGCACCCAGCATTGGTTCTAGCTGAGTCAGGAACCACGTATTGTGCAACTGAGCACAGGAGTAGAGTACTTACCTCAAGCGAAGTGCCCCCACTTCCAGGCCTGCCATTAATCTTCTGTCTGTGGATAGGGCGGCATCGATGTCAACATTCGCAACACCTACAACCAGACAGCCCTGGACATTGTGAATCAATTCACCACCTCACACGCCAGCAAGGACATCAAACAACTACTGCGAGGTGAGCAGGTCAAGGCCTGTTCCTAGCAGGACAGTGCTTTGGGGAAATGTGTATGGTCCTAGCGGTGAAATCTCTTGGGCGGCAGCAGCAGAAGTGCTCAGGAGATTCAGCCCCATCATTCTCACTGAAGACAAGACACAATTCGCCCGAGGAAGCTGGTGGGAAGGAATGATGTCTTCAGCATATAATATAAGCACACAGTGAATAACATAGACCTCGTTTCCTTTTCTGCCTGTTCTCTGCATCCTGTGTCCCCCGCTTTCCTTTGTCTTCAGAGGCATCAGGAATCCTGAAAGTCCGAGCTCTGAAGGATTTTTGGAACCTCCATGACCCAACAGCCCTGAACATCCGTGCCGGAGATGTCATCACGGTAAGGCCATTTAAACTTTGGGACAGCTGAAATTCACCCCATGTAGCACTCTGGGGTCATCCTCACTTTTGCTCTAAGCTCTGTGCACAGACCCCCATCTGAGGCAGAAAAAGGCAAATGTGTTTTTATCTTGCTTTCACAGAAGCATCATATCCACAATATAGGAAGTGGGAGCCGCTCTTGTTAGGTTCCTAGGTGTCTTGACTGTAGCAGTCAACAGTGTTGACGAAGGACGCGTTCACAACACGCAAGATTTACTAGAGTAATAGAAATGACAGTGGGTTGGAATATGACATATGAGTCAAGCTATGCCACACTGTGACTCAGTGAGAGCCGGTGTGGTGTAGAGTGACGGACGAGGAGGCCTGGGTCTTCCTTCTGGCGCGAAGCTCACTGGGTGACCACTGCCTCTTAGCCTGACCTACCTCACAGAGTTGTTGTGAGGGGAATAATGGAGGAAGGGAGAACCATGTATGCCCCTGCCTTAATCCAGTGAGCAAGTAATACTTCCCACCCCTGCAGTCCCTCAGCTGTTTCAGCCACCAAAAACAGCACAAGGGAGAAGGCTGGAATTCTTTCTTCTCTCGTGCCACAGTCCTGATCTGCACTTGGCCCTGCTGTGCTTTTACTCGTGAGTTGCCAACCAGAAACTAGCAGCTACAGTACAGCTGCAAGTCCCTGTGGTGAACTGGTAGAGTTTGTAATGTCCAGTTAAGCTCTCAGCCCTGTGTACGGTGAGCTGCTAAAAGAAATGGGCATGTTTGGGGTGATTCAGTAATCCGGGGACTCACTTGCAAAGTAATTCTTATGATATTTCCCCCTTTTGCAACATAAAATTCAGGAATCTCACATGAGTTAACACTGAAACAAGTTCATTTTTTGTTTTTCCTGTGTGTTTAGTAAATACATAGCATTGCTGAGGAACTGCCTGTATGTCATGGCCCTTGTACACACTGTGCAGAGGCAAAGCCAGATTGTGCCATCCAGCTCATTCTGTTCCTCCTCCTCCTCCATCCTGGCCCCTCGACCCTCCCAAAAAAGAAGCATGATGCCCCTCATTTTGAGAACCGGCGTATCTTAAAAGAGAGGAAGAAAGCTGATGCAATTAAGTTTTTTAAGAGATGAAAGGATGCCAGGAGAAAAAGGAGCGGTGGATTTAAGTTGTAACAGTGTACATTTATGTTGGATTCTGAGAACAAAGTCCTAACAAGGCAACAAGTCATACAAGGTCATTCTGGGACTTTTGTGTCTGGGATTTTTAAAAAGCAACCTGACCAGCAGAGATAATAGAGATCTAGACTATCCTGCTTTCACTAAAGCGTTTAATGGCTTCCAAGGTCACTTTCAGTGTTACGATTCTATTATCTCATATGTGTCTTGTGTCCCACTACTTGCAAGAACTACTTTCTCTTGTCAGGTCCTGGAGCAGCATGCAGACGGACGCTGGAAGGGCCACATCCACGATGCTCAGAAAGGCACGGACCGAGTTGGCTACTTCCCTCCATCCATTGTAGAAGTCATCAGCAAGCGCACAGGTTGGCCCAGGGACACAACTGGAGAGAGTTTGCCGGAAGACCAAAGATTTATGCAGAGGAGAGGGGCAAGGGGGCAGGAAACATCTGTGACTCTATTCTCCAACTAAACCCCACATCCTCGCTCAGGGCTCTTTTTGTAGAAAAAGCCCAGCAGGAACTCATTAGCATAATAGGCCACACCCAACAGCAGGAACTCATTAGCATATTGGGCCACACCCCTGACAGCACAGCTCATTAGGCCGCAGCCCCATGTTACCAGAAGTGAGGTTATCCAGCCACACCCACCTTTTGCTTGTTATTCTGTTTACCTTGTTTGTTGTCAAAACCCAGGGCCTTTTTTTGTAGCAGGAACTCCTTCGCATGTTAGGCCACACACCCCTAATGTAGCCAATCCTAATGATTTTCTGCTATTGGGTGTGGCCTATTATGCTAATGAGTTCCTGCTGGGCGTGGCCAGTTTGGGAGCCAGCCGGAACTCCGTTCCTGTGCGTTCCTGCCCAAAAACAGCCCTGTCCTCCCTGCAAAAGATACCCCCTCCTTCTCCCCTAGTAGCTGAGACTTTCCCATGCTTGGTTGCTGAGTGGGTTCAGTCACACAAACAAAGGCAAAAAGCATCATGCCTTTCAGATCAAGATTACTTATGACAGGATGGCTTTCTTTAATACTGTTCAAACACACATACACAAACATATATTTTGTATATAATTACATTTGCAGGAATATTGGAAACTGTGAGCAGTGGGACCCGGACACAAATTGTGTCCAGATTCCATTTTGTCCTTGAATGAACATAAACAACCATTTATCAACTGGAAAGTGATTGCAGTGAGAATTGCAGTAGGGATGTCCATCTGTATGATCTTTCCCAGTGATTTTTGATTGAATGAAAATACAAAGGAGGAACCCACAATGACTCACAGGCTAAGGAAATCCTATTTCCTCCCCTTCCGCCTGTCACCAGCTCTGGGTCTCTGCCTCTGGCTTACCGTTCTCCTTCTGATGGCCAACTCCTCCTCCTCCTCCTCTTCTTGGCCACCAGCATTGGTGTTGCAATCCAAAATAGTACCCAAACTTCAGCAGTTTCATTTTTTCACCATCTGCACAAGCACAATTGTCCTTTTATCTTGCTTTCTTAAAGTAAAAATTTTCTGCAAACCCTATATGGCAGCCATAGAAGTCCACAGAGGGAATGGTCCTTGTTTCTTATATATAGTGACCAAGTGGGATACCAGCAAGGTCTTGTGGGGGCATCTCATTTTCTCCTCCCCAGTATTTCCTCTTTCCCGTCACTGAAAGCCCCCATAGTCTCTTCATTTTTCCTGCTTCCCACCCACCCACCAGCCAACCTACCTTTTTCAGTCCCTGTTTTCAGCTTTCCCTCCTACCCTCCTCTGGCAACCTCTATCCAGGAAAACTATGGCTAAGTTTTGCACTCTAGGCTGCTGGGCTAGACTCAGTTGTGTGGGAGGGAACCTATAAGGACTTCTGGGAGCACCCCACTTCCTCCTGTATCCCTTCCCCACACTATTTCCTCTTTCCTTCCTCCTGGCAGCTCCCATGTCCTCACCTCTCCCTGCTTCCTTTTCTTCTTACCCACCCACCAATGCCTGCGCCTGTCTGGCTAGTTTTCCATAGGTAACAGGAAACTATTCTGCCCACCATCACTTAGCTTAAGTGTCTGTGCTGAACTTTCTCCTCTCCTGTCCAACAGCAGGTGATAGGAACAGTGTGGGCAGCGAGGGCAGCATTGGAAGCATCCGGAGTGCTGGCAGTGGGCAGAGCACTGAGGGTACCAATGGCCAGAGCACCGGACTCCTCATTGAGAACGTGAAGGTAAGGGAGCACAACTTTCCATGCTCTAAGATGTGCACATTTTCCTGCTGCCCTCTCTCCCTATGATCCTCTCCCACTCTGTCTGTATTAGATGGTTCTTATCTCCTGGGGACATCCTTAAGTTCATCTAGTATGGATTGGTTCCCCTTTATAAATGCAACATACAAAACGTGAGAAGATGCAGTGGTTAAATAGAACACACTTCCTAGTGCCAAATCCTATAGGATATGGGAGATGCAGGAACAGTCGCTTTAGGCTTTATGGAAACAAAGTCTAAGTTGGCGGGGGCTGCAAATTTGACTGGGTCATGGGAGTGGCCCTTTTCCTGAAAGATGATTTTTAAATTTTTTTCTGATCACTGCTACAGCTGCTTGTTTCCTCACTGGGGAAAATATATGGGGACCTTATGTTTATTTGGTCTTTTACCTATGTCATGACCCCCAGCGGGTTGCCACCTTCAGCTGCCACCACTCTGGACTTCGGGTCCCTTGAGAAGGCCCAGAGTACCCTCCCAAGCCCATCCAAAATGCCCCTTTTTAAGCCGAGAACATAGGCGTGATGACCAGGCAGAGAACATTAAACAAATGGTTTACTAACACAGTCCTGGGGCAAGGAAAACAAGACAAGGTGCTTTAAAATATATAACAGTGTTTAAAGGCAAAAATAACCAAATCTAACGCAACTACCTTGTTAGGGTTGCCAAATATCTTTTGTTCCGCAGCGGGGGGCTCCCGGACGGCGTCTTCTGCGCGCGCATAGTTTCCCCCTCAAATGGCTGTGGCCCCGCCCCCAGTGTGCCCGGCGTCAGCACGTCACCTCCGGCTGACGTGCACGCCGGGGTGGGGTTTCCCCCGGGGCCCGATTCCACGGCAGCGGAAATCGGGCCTCCAAAGCGGGGGAAATCCGCCCCCCCAGGGGGAATTGGCAGCCCTATACCTCGTTCACTTAACTGGTTACTACTTCAAGGCCCACAGCCCTCTTATACCAGGCCTCCTGCCTATACTCACTCTGTCCCAAGTGAGGGATCTTTCTCTCAGACCAGTCCCCTCAATTATACTCTGTGTGAGGCCACACTGCAGAAGAGACAAAAGAACACAGTTTCATGGCCCACAAAGCTTAAGTTCCATTCCCTCACACAATCTCTATACACTGATTGGCTACAACCGTTGCTAAGCATTGTGGAGATTGTGGGCTGTCGGCTCTCCACTCCCACACAGGCCTCTAGGCCTTTCTCCCAGGCCTACACAGATCATGACAACCTGTTACTGCTTGGAACCACAGGCCCTCTTTGACAGTATCTTGAGAGGAAAAGAATGCTGCATTTTTGTGTGTGTGTTTTGTGCCAGTGAAATTCCTAAATCAGAGAAGGCAGTTCTCAGAGCTTCTGTAAGTGAACCCTAGCTGCTGAGGATAGTCCTGTCCATTCAGAAGCAGTAGCACATATAATGGATGGATAAAGAACTGTTGTTCCCAGGGGAAAGGGGGAGATAGCTGTGTCGCAATGTTCCCTCTAAGCTGTGGAGTCTTGTGAGCAAAAATTCTACTTTGTGAGCTACTGGCGTTAAAGTTGTGAGTAAGCAATTTGGCTACTGCATAAATTAGGTTGCTCTGGAGCCATCCCTTCCTGAGCAAAGACAAAAAGGTGTGAGCCGGAGTCTAAAAAACTGTGAGCTAGCTCACACTAACTCAGTTTAGAGGGAACACTGGTCGCAGTATATCCCTCTCTTCTCACCCAGGTCTTTAAAATGATGTATGTCTGGGTGTATGACCTGGCATCACTAGATTAGTTTTTGCGGAGGAGGAGGAGGAGGAGGAGGAGGAGATTGGATTTATACCCCGCCCTTCACTTGGAGTCTCAGAGCGGCTTACAAACTCCTTTCCCTTCCCCTCCCCACAACAGACACCCTGTGAGGTGGGTGGGGCTGAGAGAGCTCTGACAGAAACTGCTCTTTTTCAAGAACAGCTGTGCCAGAACTACTGCTTGCCCAAGGTCATCCAGCCAGGTGCAAGTGGAGGAGTGGGGAATCAAACCCGGTCCTCCCAGATTAGAGTCCACGCACTTAACCACTACACCAAACTGGCTCTTCTGCATAGGGATGAAAACAGTCCTTTTTCCTCTTCGATCCAGGATTAGAAATGGCCTGGAGGTAACCACACGTCTATAATTTGATTACATAGGTAGCAGGAGAACAAAGTTTGAGTCCAGTGGTTGCATAGGTAGCAGGTGTTAATCTGCACCTCACTGGTGCAAATAAATACAATTAATCATGAACTACCCTTGAGCAACTGTGTTATGATTCGGGCAACCAGGATCAAGCCACCCCTACCCACATTACAGGCCCTTCACTATTGCTCTTGCAGCATGCCCACTGTTGTCTGTGAGTTCTCTCTGAGTCTCCTTTTTTCCCATGCAGCCACTTTCACCTGGTGGGGAAGATCTATATCAGCATCTCTTGGGCTCCAATTCTCAGAATGGCCAGACAAATCCCATGATAGGTAAGCTGAAAGACTGCAGTGGAGATGGGGGGGGGGTGTTGAAAGACCGAGACACCGGGCACATGGCAAAATTCATAAAAGAAAGCAGGACAGCTTTCTGAAGAGAAGCAAAGTGGAGACATCCCTCACAGTGATGACCATGGAAAGACATGGCGACTCACATGGCAGGGACCAGTCACTCATAATCTGAAACTGCATGAGCATGGTGCTAGTGTCCTACCCATGGCAGTGGAATTTCCTTTCCATCCAAGCCTCAGAGTCTTTGGAAGAGAGGTAACCCTTCTCTATTTGGGCTGGCATTCAAAATCAAACTTGTGGTGGTGGTGGTGAATCTTAGCATCTGCCTAATATTTATGCTTGAACGGAATATTCTGTTTTTATTGTACCTTTCCCCTGCTTGTGCTGTTGTTACCACTCCAGAGCCCATAAGAAAGGGCAGGACAGAGGTTACTCTAAATCAATAAAGGACCCGTTCCTTTTTACATGAAACTACTCTTTGTGGGCATATATACAGAAAATGCCACCACTGCACAGCCTGCAGTCATTTTGATGTGGCAGGTTTGTGACCCCCTAGATAAGCCCTATTGAAACATGTGTCTGGATGTGTAGCAACAGCAGGGTCTGGGGTAGGCAAAATAGCTGTCCACTGCATCCAATAGCTGGCTTCATCCAGTGCTCAGGTCTGCTCTCTTTTGGCTCCCTGTAGGGACTCTGGCGCACGAGAACCTCACCAACTACAACACCAGTGACAGGATCTTCTCCCACCAGTACCTACGGCCAGAGCAGCTCCTAGAGGGGAAGGTACTGGAATCTACTAGAAGAGTTCAGACCAAGGATCACGGAGCAGTTAAAAAATGCAGTCTGGAGTTGGAGGGGGGGGGATAATTCTCCATAAATAGGGGAATTCAGTTCTGATGTCTTTGTCCCCTGTCCAATACAGAGTCTGACATCCAGTATCAAGTCAGAGATACTTTAGGACACTGAAATAAATCAACAGGCTTAAGTGTGCCTCTTGATTTGGCAAATGCATTAAGGATGATTTTCCAAGGGGTTAGCAATTTGTCCATGTTAGTTCAGAACCATGCTACATACGGTACAGGAGTTCTGTGCCTGGACCACCAAAGATATAATCTGGCCATAAGACACAGCTACAAAGAGGCACGATTTATTTATTTTATTTAAAACATTTATATGGTGCCTTTCCACCCAGTTCAGGGTCCCCAAGACAGCAAACAATAAAAAATGTGAGACATTAAAAACCATTTAAAATACAAATACATTAAAAAATATTTAGAACAATTAAATAAAACATAATATAAACACACACACAAACAAATACATAAAAAGACACAAAAAGGGCGGAGGGCTAATAAGAATGAGTGAGTCCGTGCCAAACAAAACAAAATTTCTTCGCCTGGAAGATAACGAGGGAGACGACAAATTTTCCTAAGAAGGGAGTTCCAAAGTTTTGGTGCCATGATGGAGAAGACCCTTTTTTAGGTTGCCACTCATCTAGCCTCCCAAAATGACCAGAGTGGTTGAATAGGTTCATATGAGCAACTGGCACTTACCCTCCCGGCGCGCGCGCGCTGCATGCACATCACAGGGAAGTGACGTCATGACGCCGGGCACGCTGGGGGTGGGGCCACGACCATACAAGGGAAAACCATAGAGTTTTCCCTTGTATGGCCGTGGCCCCGCCCCCAGCGTGCCCAGCATCATAACGTCCCTTCCCTGTGACGTGCACGCTGGGGCGGGGTTCCCCCCGGGGCCTGATTCCCTGGCATCGGGGAACGGGCCTCTGGGGCGGGGGTTTTCCACCCCCCGGGGGATTTGGCAGCCCTAGCATAGATGGTCCTTCAAGTATGTTGGTTCCAACTTCCAAGCGGTACCGGGCTTTAAAAGTCAATAGCAGCACCTTGAATTGAGCCTGGATGCAAATTGGGAGCCAGGATAGATGGAACAAGACTGGATGATATGGTCCCTACAGCCCACCCCAGGGACTATCTGATCCTGTCACTGCTAATGTAGAGTCCAAGTTGGAACAGATGAAAGAGATCTTATCCACAAAGCGTTGAGCAACATGTCATAGCAGGCTGCACAGCAATCTACCTCCTCCCGTAGGCCCGAACCCAACAGGCACTGACCACCTGGGAGAGTTCCACAGATATGTGGATTCATTGTTGGCAGAGAAATGTCGATCAGGGCCATAGCACCCAGGAAGGAAAGTTTCAACTCTTTCTCTTATGCCATTTCCCCAGTCAGAAATGTCCCCCTATGCTCTTTTGTAAACAAGGACAGGGTTTTTTTTTCTCCTATGGGGACTTAAAACAGCTAGGGGCATTTTGAAAGGGGAAACTTTGCAGGGACGAAGAGTTATTACCCCACCCCAGTGCCATGACCCTGATCCAGATCCCTTCAGCTCTTTTCAGAGAAACTCCAGTCATGGAACTTCACTATTAGCTTTTATTTGTCAAATGAAACATCATTGTCTTTGTTAAATACTCTCCTGTCTCACAGTATACAATCCAGTATTACGATCCAGGCCTACACAGCTTCATCATCATCAGTTGACCTTTATTGGCATAAAATACCAAAGTGTAACCATACATATAAAACATATAAAACATAATGTAGGATAAAACAATTACTTATTGTAAGTTTTCCTTACGTAGCTTTATCGCTGATTGTAAAAACATGGCTACATTCATTGCTATACAGCTTGAGATCCACCAAGCCAGATGCAGACAGCCAGCTGTGTACTGTGGCCTACCAGGGCTCAGTGGGCTCACTCTGCCTGTCTTAGGGCTGCCAGTTTCCCATTGGTGGGTGATCCCCTGCCCCGCCTGCTCCTGTTTTCCACCTCTGCTACAGCAGCCAGTGGGAGGGGGAAAACGTTTTAAAAGTCACTGTAAGCCAAAAACCCAAACGTAACATCAGTCCACCCTAAGAATTGCTGGAATCAGGCAGTGGTGCCCCTCGTCTCCCCTCCCCCCAGCTCCTGCCGATTGCCAACTGATGGCTGGCAATCCTAGCCGCTCACTGAGAACCAGGAGACAGACATATCAAGCCCCTGAAAGCAACAAATACATGGCTCGGGGTGTATGTGTGTTCTGCCGGGAGAGCCACATATTGTCCAGGCCTGATTTAATTAACAGCAAAATGGTTTGAATGCTAATCGTGTGGATCAGCACCATCTCTTTAGCACACAAGTTTCAGCTAAAGGGCCTGATGAGACGGGGAGGATGTTCTGCATATCTGTGGGTCTTTGTCATTGGGGGGGGGAGGATTTTTTTGGCAAGCAGAGCAGATCCAATAGGCTGTGTTCCACTTTCCAGGCCTAGCTACTAGCTTTATAATAATACTGGATGCCTCACAATACTCACAAAACAATAATACTGGCTGAGAATCACTCTTTAAATATTAAGTAATATTATTTTCCCATAAGTTCCGTGCAGATGTTGGGGAGGGAGGAGGATTATGTAATGCGACGGATTTCAGGTGATTATGACACCAAGTACAGGACTGCTGACTCGGTTCAAAATATGGACAAAATCCATTGGTGGCTGCCTTAAGTATAGGGTTTATGAGACCAAGCTGTAGGCCAGGGGTGCCTGTCTACAGAGCCCAGAAACAGCAGAAAGTGCCTCAAGGCACTGGGTTTTTTTGCATTTCCCCCTCTTGAATGATGACATGGAAGAGCTCCATCAGGACTGATTTAAGCAAGACAATAAAGTAGCACACCAGTGAGGCTTTGTACATGCATAACTTCTCATTTAAACAGAGTTGCTACCTGTACAAAGTGCTTGCGTGCACCTAGGCAGCCTGTGCCGGCATGCTATTTAAGCACCTGTAGCTGCTTTGCAGAAGTTCAGTTTGCATGAGATGCTGTGCGAATGCAAAGGCTACTTGGGTGCAATGCTCCCTCTAAGCTGTGGAGTCTTGTGAGCCAAAATTCTACTTGGTGAGCTACTGGCATTAAAGTTGTGAGCGAGCGATTTGGCTGCTGCATAAATTAGTTTGCTCTGGAGCCCTCCTTCCTGAGCGGAGACAAAAATGTGTGAGCCGGAGGCTAAAAAACTGTGAGCTAGCTCACACCAACTCAGCTTAGAGGGAACACTGCTTGGGTGAGTTCTTTTAGCTTGCCAGACTCTCATTTAAATCTGGGAAGGAATAGCAGGAATCTTTCCCTCTCCACATCTATCAGCCACTATCTTCAAGAGGGATTTCTGTCCTCCCTTCCCAGGATGCTGAAGCTATATACAATTGGCTGAGTGAATTCCAGCTGGAGTGCTACACAGGCAACTTCCTGAATTCAGGCTACGATGTGCCGACGATCAGCCGCATGACTCCGGAGGTAAGGCAGGAAAAACAGAAGCAGGCGGGATGCAACTGTAGGGCTATAAGGGAAGGAACCGTTTTGTGGTTGCCCAGCATTCACCCAACCCCTCCTTGATCTCTCTGTGTCTGCTTCTTTCCCCATGGATGCATCGCAGAACACGCACTGCATAGCGCTTCCCAAGCAACCCAGCCCACTTGGGATGTATGCCCGCCAGTTAGGGGGGTGGATTAATAAATATATCGGGACCATTTTTTTCTTCCAGGATCTCACAGCCATTGGGGTGACAAAACCAGGCCACAGGAAGAAAATCTCCACTGAAATTGGGCAGCTCAGCATTGCCGAGTGGCTTCCCAGTTACATCCCTGTGAGTAAGGACAGCACAATCCTAAACAGGAGCCACATATTGGCTCACAGCTGCCTACCAGACTGGTGGATGGTACCATCTCTGCGGTTGTGGCCAGGGTTTTGTAGGCTTTGTGGGATTGCAGAAAAGTTTACAGTGTTCCTGAGCAGATCCACTTGGGGTTGCAGAATGCTTGCCGGTGAGGCTTTTCCATTATTACAGCATTGGACTTGGATGAGCTATGTTTGAGGACCGCCTTGTCTTAGTCTGTTACCTTATTGCTGTGAAATGGAAGTAATAATGGTTTACCAAAGTTACTGAGAAAACATTCACAATAAGAAGTGTAAAGCACATTAATGTCTTTGAAAATGCAACATTAATTGTTAACTGTCTTGTTTTTATCTGGCCCTTCCTGCAAGGAGCTCAGGATAGCATAGATAGCTCTCTTATCCTCCATTTTATCCTTACAACAGGTATTTATTTATTTAGGAATGTTAGGCCGAGAGAGTGTGAGCAGCCAAAGGCACCCAGCAAGCTTCATGCTTGAGCAGGGATTTGAATCTGGGTTGTCCCTGTGCTAGTCTAGCATTCTAACCAGTACACCATGCTGACTCGTCATTCTGGCTATTATTATTATTATTATCATCATCATTATCAGAATATCACAAGCCACATCTAGTTGACGATCTGTGCGCAGACATCCCCTACTCCCTCCAAATCGCAAAACACAGAGCAGCTTGTGTATTTTGTAGAGACTGCTCAGGTCTTTCCCCAGCCAATTATATTTTAAGCAGTCCCCAGGTGGGGGCGAGGATACCCCAATTTTGGGGGCTCCTGCCCACCACTGGCCAGCTGGGGAAGCCCTGCCCCCCAAGAACAGCCACCCACGGCCACCCCTCTCCCTCCCCTCCTGCCAAATTTAAAGGGCCTTCCAGCTAATCGGTGGGAGCACGTGGAGGGCCCTTTAAATCTGGCAGGAGGGGAGGGAGAGGGGCAGCTGCTGGCCACATGCCTACACTCCAAGTGGTGAACTCGCCGCTTGCGATTCAGGTGCACGTGGCCCCCGCTCTCCAAATGCGTTTAAAGGGACCCTTTAAATGCTTTTGAAGAGGGGGGCTGGCACCTGAATCCCAAGTGGCGAATTCGCCACTTGGAATTCAGGCGAGTCCCCAATGTGATGACGTCACTTCTGAGTGACATCATGATGTTGGGGATGTCCCTACCCCCTCCAGGAATGCCTCCCAAAGTCCCCTGCTTGGGGGGGGGGAGGCAGGACCTGGCAACCCTAGCAGTTCCCGATAGCTCTGTGGTGTGTAGTGGGGCTGGATTTAGAATATGTATCTAGAATTAAGATGCTCTTCCCTGGTGTGGAATGTAAGGGCTCATTATGGTTGGGCTGTTTTCTTTTCCTTTTCCTTTTTTAAAACAATTTTATTTTATATCAAACAAACAAAAACAAACAAATATACATACGAACATTCAATGGGAGAATCCATCCATCTCTTTAAATTATCTGTTAAGTTATCCATACATCTCTAAGTAAAAAGTGTACTTCTACTTATATTGTTAAGTAAAGCTTTTGCACATTGGATGGTTTTCCAGGACGACCTGATGGAATGGCTGAGTGCAATTGGACTACCCCAGTATCACAAGAAGCTGGTGAGCAACGGCTACGACTCCATCAGCATAGTGACAGATCTGACCTGGGAGGATTTGCAGGAGATTGGCATTAACAAGCTTGGTGAGGACAGAACAGGGGAATATATACAGGACTATGAGTGTATTGTGGACCTTTGACTTTCTGGTTGTGTGTTTCAAACCCATCCCTAACAACCTGTGTTGCTGGTAGCCTCCATCTAAAAGGAAGTCTGTATCATTGCTCTACAACTCAGCAGGCAGATGCTAATATTGAATGATACAATGTCCCCGTTGGTCATCCATGGATGGATGGATAACTGATCCAAGCTGAGGCGTTTGATCATCTAAGTCCTTTTAGGAGACATCATTATGATTGTAGCACTTCTACATTAAGTGCTTTATTCTAACATACAGTCCAAAAGGGCAATTGCATTGGTCTATTAAAACAACACTCCTGTGGCACCCAAAAGACTAATAATTATTCTGTGACCTATGTTTTCAAGGGCCAGATTCCACTAGCATTCAAACTGTGCTCTAGGAAAACAGTTTCCCCACACATTTCTAGGCCTCCACACTTCTAGGTACAAAAAGGCCACCTCACTTAGTGGGGTGTGATTGTCACTTTCAAGAGCACAACAGTCCACTTGACCTTTCTTGTCTGAAGATAGTGCTGTTGAATCTCCCAAAGGAGTAGAAGTCACCAGACCTTGGCGCTACCCCCAAGGCATTTTCTCCCTGCCTTCTTTCGTGGCTTGGTCTGATGCAGAAGAACGTATCCCCAACCAACTTTATGCTGGCTCAGTGTTTGAGGGAGGGCCTTGCCCCTCCTTTGGAGGCAATGATCAGTATAGTATTCAGGGTCGCCAAGTTCTGGGTGGGGCCTGGCATCCTCACAGAATTGCACCTGTTCTCCAGACTACAGAGGTCAGTTTCCCTGGAGAAAATGGCTGCTTTGGAAGGTGGATTCTGTGGCCTTAGACACCACTGAGCTCCCTCCCCTCCCTAAACTCTCCCCTCCCCAAGCTGCATCCCCAAATCTCCAGGAACATCCCAACCCAGAGATGGCAACCCAAGTACTATAGGCTTCGTGCCAAATTCCCAGGGTAATTGGAGGTCTCTTGGGGCACTGGGATAGATGGTCCTTTCTATGAGAATGAGGCCTGCCTGCTCTTTGGAGTCCACTCCACTCCCCCCCAGTCCACCCAAAGGCCAAAGAGATATAGGAAACAGCATTTCTAAACATTGTGAGAGAGACTCAGCTCCCGCCGCCCTGGCCAGTCCTTGGCTGGCTCCTCTTGCAGCGCGGTTTAAACTGAGCCGCAAAAGGAGCCAGCCCCAGCTGAGCCAGCGTGGAGCTCCTGCCACCCCAAGTGATGCTTGATATAGCTTAATATTTCGGTATAGCTGAATATTCAGCTTTTATTCAGGCTCAGCTGTACCGGTAGCTGATCAGATTCTCTGAATCTGTATTCAGCTTAAGTAATACCCCCAAAATACCAGTAATTTCCTCTTAGATGTTATGAGGAAAGACCTTTTGAGCAAATGACTGGGCACTTAACTGGTAACACTTAAAATACACTGGAACATTGTCACATTTGAGGCTACTTCCTGAAAGCAGATTCTGTAACCAGGATTACTTAAATTGTGTTTACATAGTTCCTGTCTACTTGTCCATTCACCTATACTTCTATTTTTGTCCCATCCTCTATTCAAGGAGCTCAGGGTAGCATAAATGAATACATGTCTCTTCCCCTCCTTTTATTCTCAGGACAATTCTGTGACGGAGGCCAGACTGAGCATTACTGCCCCAAGGTCACCCAGTGAATTTCAGAGTAAAATGGGGGATTTGAACCTGGGTCTCCCAAATCCTAGTCTGACACTTTAACCATTTCACCAAGAGTGGCTAGTTGCAGTTTCCACAGTTTGTTCTGGTTGTAGAATTTGAGATTCTGGATAATGGGATACGAGGCTATGCTTTCTTCTCATGTTTCATTCCCTGGCAGATTATTGCCGATATAGCAAAAACAGGGTACATTCCTTAAGTATGTGAGATAGCCTGGACTTAGGTTCTGCCTCTGATGTACTGGTCTAGACTGAGACAAGGGTTAATGCTGTCCTTTGCTATAATAGACAGCTGAAGGCCATGGGAGAGAAAAAAGTTGTCCATTCATTTGAGCTTAATTTTTGCTTCTCTTTTGCCCCCTGCAGGCCACCAAAAGAAGATCATGCTGGCTGTCAAGAAGTTGACAGATCTCCGCAGGAGCCTGAACCAGGCGGATGCCAACACTCTGAGGCGGAAGATCCCCGGCGCCTTAGACATTGTCACCATTGAGTCTGTTGAGAATGGGGAGTGCCACTCTCCCCACACCCCCAAGATGACCACTTTCCAGGACAGCGAGCTGAGCTATGAGCTCCAGACAGCCATGTCCAACAGCTGCCAGGAGACGCTGACCATCAAGAATACTCAGGGCATCTCCCGGAGCCAGGAGAGCATTGGCATGCGCTCCAGGGGGTCAGGGCACTCGCAGGAGAACATGTTGTCCCAAAGTGCCGCCTCAAGCCGTTCTCAGGAGAGCCTGGGCAGTGGCGAAAGCAGCAGCAGTAGCAGTGGCGGGCGCTCTTCCACCCAAAACCCCCTCGTGGACAATTCCACTAACTCTCAGGGGCGACCCAGCCCAGAAAGCTATGGGACGTTCATTCCACAGCTCAGTTGCCCAGATGGAGTCAATGGCTATTCCAATGGTTGTGCAGGAAGTCCCTTGAGGGAGAGAAATCTGCCTGAAGGCATGGATCAGTACCAGAGACCCAGTGCCCTGAAAGGGGATTTCCTTCCCTATGCAGTTCCATCAGAGCCACCAAGCGCATCTCCCTGCACATCACCCCACACGGCCAGCAAGAGAACCGCCCCCTATGTCTTCATGTATCCCCACATGTCAGTGAAGGCACAGCAACCTCACTCGCCTTCTGTTCCTGAGCAGACCAAGACACCAGACCATGCCTGCGCTCAGAGGACCACCCTACAATCAACGGCTCAGAAAGCTTTTTCCTATCTCTATTCCCACTGTGGGGGCACAGAGCTGCCTCAAGTGCCCCCAAAGCCTGCTGCTCCCACCACCTCCAGGGAGCCACAGAATGGTGAGGGGCTGAAGCATAAGAAACGTTCACACAGCTTGAACCGCTATGCGCTGAGTGACGGGGAAGCTGAGGAGGAGGAGGAGCCTCCCACTAGCTCAGTGGGCTCTTACGCTACCTTGACCAGACGGCCCGGACGGAGCCAGGTGCCACGGACGCAGCCACCCCCAGATGCTAAGGTTTCACGCAGCCAGTCCTTTGCCATCCGTGCCAGAAGGAAAGGCCCTCCACCCCCTCCTCCCAAACGCCTCAGCTCCGTCTCTAGCGCACAGGCTGTGGATGCTGAGTATGAACAAGGCTTAGAACCACAGAAAGGGCCTTTAGCTTCTGAAGGCGGAGGAGATAATCTTCACAATATGGGCTGTCCTTTACAAAGTGTATCAGCCGTACCTGAGGGACCCGCAAGTGAGGAGAGCCCAAGTAAGCCTCTTCAGTCCCCAGACCCCACGAGGTCTGATGAGGAGGCAGGCCTACACAATGCCACTGAAGGGGACCCTGGCGGCACTGAAGCGACTAGTGGCAGAAGCCAGCTCTTTGAAAGCAACATTCCCAGGAGACGGACGTTTAGTGAGCCTACGGTCACCGTGACTGAAGCTTTGCCACAGAGCCACGAGGACATCCAGTCAGACGGTGATGAAGAGGCCCAGGTGGGGAAAGATGGCCAAGCCCAGTCTCCCTGCTCTTCCCAGAGCAGTTCCAGTGAGTGCCTTCCCTTTGCAGAGGAAGGCAATCTGACCATCAAGCAGCGACCGAAGCCCGTTGGGCAGCTAAAGACAGATGCCACCATGCCAGACTCTGATTCTGACCAAGCTCAGTCCGGTGGCAAAGAACAAGGAGACCCAGCAAGAGAGGCCCCCGTACCAGAGTTCAACCTCACTGAATCTGACACAGTGAAGCGCAGGCCCAGGTGCAAAGAGAGGGAGCCCCTCCAAAATGTGCTGAAGGCTTTTGGCGTCGATGTCCCCAGCCCAGCCACAGCGGCTCCGGCACCACAATACGCCCAGGCTCAGATAGTAAGCATCAGCGGACCATCCTTGCACGTGACGGAGCTGCAGTCCACTGGAGACACGTTGGATGACGACAGCATGGAACTGCAGATTGCTGAGATAGAGAAAAGCATCCTTTCTCTGGAGAGGGGAATCAAGAAGCCTCCTTCCTCTTTGAAACCAACCAGCCCAGTGCCACTGCAGACGGAGAGACAAGGACGATTGGTCCAGCTGAGGGCACCAGTCACAGGGACAAGTATGCAGGGTTCAAAGATGCAACTTATCCACTTGCCTGTTTGCCTCAGGAAATCAGCTGTTGGCTCGGAATGGGCAGCTGAGTAGCAGAATGTGACCTCCAGAGCAGGGCAGCCACCAGAGAGCTTTTTCTAAAACTCAGAAATATTTAAAGAAGGTAGCATTCTCCCCCCACCCCACCCCCGAAAGACACTCTATTGACACTGCAGCTCTCTTTCTGCTGGGAGAAACAAGCCATCTAGTACTATTCCAGCTTCCTTTGGTCTCTCATCGAAAGATGGGAGGGGACCGGGATAGTGCCACATCGCTTTTCTTGGCTGGAGGAGAGAGAGCTGAAGGCGAGAGAAGGGGAAGACAGGACAAATTTGGCAGGCAGTGAAGGAGAACAGGGAGGGCTTTTCAGCCACCAAGACTGCTCTAATAACCATTTGCAAGGAGCCTAAAGAGACTGAATAGTTTCCTATCCCCTAGCAGGAGACAGGGCAGAGAACAAATAGTGGTGGTGGTGGTGATTAAACAAAAAGACTTCCCTGCAGTGGATGAGCAGTAAGATCCACCCCATTCACAAGAGCTGGCAAATATTCTAGGCCAGGGGTTGGCTCCACTGCACCATTTCTGCAGATGGAAGGGGTTTTTGTTTGCAGAGCATGACTGTTGCCCCCCCCCTTCCTGGTAAAGGTAAAGGTTCCCTTGCTCGAAAGCCAGTCGAATCCGACTCTAGGGTTGTGGTGCTCATCTCCGTTTCAAAGCCGAAGAGCCAGCACTGTCCGAAGACGTTTCCGTGGTCATGTGGCCGGCATGACTAAACAACAAGGCGCACGGAACGCTGTTACCTTCCCACCGAAGTGGTACCTATTTATCTACTTGCAATTTCTTGCTTTCGAACTGCTAGGTTGGCAGGAGCTGGGGCCAGAGACGGGAGCTCACTCCGTCATGTGGCACACTCGGGTCTCGAACTGCTGAACTACCGACCTTCCACAGCCTGCAGTTCAGCGTCTTAACCACTTGAGCCACCGCAGCTCCCCCCCTTCCTACTGCAGCTTAAAATGCCCACAGAGTGCTGTTTCGGGGGGGGGGGTGTCCCCTGTCCCACGGGAGCAGCATTTCTGGGAGCATTTGGGGCAGCAGCAGGAGGGGAGAGGGGAGAAGGTCACCCTCCAGATAAAGATCCTTCCACCCACAGAAACACTCCTTTGGATCCAAGCCCTTGGGTCTCCCAGCAAGAATAAGCCATTGGAGGTTTTGTCAAGGTAGCCATTACACTGTTTGCACAAAGAAGGGTTTTAAAAAGGGGGATCAAGGTCTAACAGCCTACACCAGGGTATGTGTTCCTCCTAAGCATCATTAAGTAACTGACCCCTGAAACAAAGAGAGGAAGAATTGCAATTTGAGCTTAGAGGAAAAGGCCAAAGTGTGTGTAACGATATACCCAGGACTCACAATCAGTTGGGTCACATGTGCAGTACAAGGAAAGACAAAATAAAGTCAAGGTCAACAGGCTGCCCCCAGGCACTGGAGCCTCATTGCCTAATTCTGGCAGAATCAATGTTCCCTCTAAGCTGAATCAGTGTGAGCTAGCTCACAGTTTTTTAGCCTCCATATCAGAGATTTTTGTCTTCGCTCAGGAAGGATGGCTCCAGAGCAAACTAATTTGTGCGGTAGGCAAATTGCTCGCTCACAACTTTAATGCCAGCAGCTCACAAAGTAGCATTTTTGCTCACAAGACTCCACAGCTTAGCGGGAGCCTTGGGCAGAATTACTGCAACTCCAGGCTCCTGGTGAAGACCTGCCGTCCGAGCTGAGGCTGTCAGATTCTCTGCTGAGGCAAGAGGGAAAAGGGACCCATTTTGACCTTCCCCAAAATGCTGAGCTGGGGGTTATGGCACCCATGTGGGAGAAAAGCCACGTAGAACAGTACTGCAACGAGGAAGGGGATCAGGCAAGATTTTTATTCATTAAAACATTGTCATCTCATCTTTTCTCTCACTGTACCAGTGATGCAAGGCGGCTAGCAACACTCGTAAGATAGCCCCTGATCACTTTTGCGTCAGCAGAAAAGCTGAGAGGATCAAACCTAATGAACGTGCCACACTTGTGGGGTTCTGATATTTTGTCTGTTGTTTCTGTGGGCGTGCAGAATAGCTCTGAGAAGGTAAGAGCAGGGAAGCCTGCAGGTGATGCGTGCTGCAGTTGGCTTGCATACTGTGTCAGTTGGGCCGTTGGTGCTTCATTACCTGTTGGCTTTTTTCCCTTTCAGATGACTCAGCCAAGCACACATCCATTGCTTCTACCAAACTGGTATTTTCAGGGCCGAAGACGATCTACCAGCAAGTCCTGCAGAACTCCCGCAACACTGTGGCCCCCTGGGCAGCCACTGAAATGGTGTCAGAAGCGACAGGACCCTACCCCATGAAACTGGGGCTTGGTAGCAAGCCAGCCTTGAATGTTGGTGCAACAAGGCCATTGAACGCCTCTCCAGACATGGCTCAGGTTCAGCAAAGACTGGAACAAACCAACTCATCCTTGGTGTCCACTCTCGAGGCTGCTGAAAAGAAGATCATCCCAGAAGCAGCACGGAGGTAAGTTTGAACTTGGATAAGGGGGGGGGGGGGCGGCAAGCCAGCAAGAGGCCCGTATCCTCAACAAGCCTCTCGTTTGTCACAGGGGCAAGTATGCAAATACAAAACACACGGAAACGGTTACAAATAAAACACACAGAAAGCACACAAAACTGTTGCTAAGAGAGTACACGTTTAAGTGCTTCAGACACATTTATCCTGATCCACACAGGGACTATGCACAAGCATGCTTTTACACATGTAATTCTAGGTGCCTGGGGAATTGCAAACGCTGAGTAAGCAATGCCCCAGCCAGAGCCAGCAGCTGGGGCTGTGTATGTGTAGTCTGCCAAATGATGGTTATGATTGTACAGTATTTCCAAGGCTGTGCTTGGACACAGGCCCAGCTCTTGCACATGTGTATCAGCAGGACTACAGCCTGTTACCTTATGTGTTTAATATGTATGCATTACTTTGACTGCTGTTTTAGGTATTGTTAGGTTGCTCTTGCACGTGTAGTATGTGGGGGTCAAAAAGTAGGCTAAAAGCATAACATATTAAAATGTGGGGGGTTCTTTTTAAATAGAACAGAAAAGTAGGACCATTCAGTCTTTTTAAAAGGGGACAGCCATATTTGAAAAGCCATACCCACCATTTGTTACTTGGATTGTGTTTGTATTATGGCATCCATGGTGGAGTACAGAATACATTGTCGGAGGTAGCTCTCAGCTAAACGTTTACATTCAGATGTCTGTTTCCCATTCTTTCTTCTCCTCTGCTTCATATGGTCTACTCATGTGAGCAGTGTCAAGTCAGAGAGAGGAACTTACAGAAATTCAAGCTGCTGCAACTTGGATCCAGACTAAATTGGCAATTCCCACCAATCCCCTCCTCACAAGAACATAAGAAAAGCCTGCTGGATCAGGCCAGTTGTCTATATGTTCCAGCATACTATTTCACACAGCAACTAAGCAGTTGCCCTGGAGGGCCAAACAGGCCATAGAGGCTGAGGCCCCTCCCCTCCGCTGTTTCCAGCCATGGGGATTCAGAGGAATGGGGGCAGCCTCAGCTTACATAGACAAGCATAAGCTTCTAGGTCTCATTGGACACTAAAGTTGGTAAAGGCAGGAACATTGACGCAAGTTCTGGTTTCCTTCCTTATACACTGGCTAGGGATCACCCCCCGTCTTCTAGGAGCTATTTCCCTCAGTCTTGATAGGGATGGGCTACATGTCCTACTTCTCTAAGGATCCTTCTTGATCCTCTCACAGTCTCTTTTCTCTCTCCATGTTGTCAACCCTTAACTCCTAACTCTCTCAACAGAATAATTCCATTTGAATCCCCTGTCACTCAAGATTCTCATAAGAGAACATAAGAACATAAGAGAAGCCAATGTTGGATCAGGCCATTGGCCCATCCAGTCCAACACTCTGTCACACAGTGGCCAAAAACACCAGGGTGCCATAAATTCTCAGACCAGGCTAAAGCCTTAACTGTTTACTGTCTGTCACACCCCCTTTTTCAAGTGGTCAGTGCTCAAGGCCATCATGACCTCCACTGGCAGGGAACACCACAATTTAATTACCCATGCCCCCCCTTAGTCGTCTTTTTCCTAAACTAAAAAGTCCCAAACTGTTCAGCCTTTCCTCATAGAAAAGGTGCTCCAACCCCTTCTTGGTTGCCCTCTTTTGTACTATTTCCAGCTGTACAATACCCTTTTTGAGAGGTGGTGATCAGAACTGTGCACAGTATTCCAAATGAGAATGCACGATAGCGTTCTACCAAGGGCATTATAATACTGGCCGTTGTATTTTCAGTCCCTTTCCTAATAATTGCTAGCATGGAGTTTGCCTTTTTTCAGTCACTGCCTCACATCCTCCTACTGTAGACCCACACACACACACGTGGCGTTCCTCAGCATTCCATATCCACCTGGAGCAGCATTTAATGGAGATCACTGAGCTTCAGTAGGAGGCGGGTGGGAAAGTTCCATTCCTCTGATGGAAAATTTAGTCTAGATCCAACCTGGTATCTTTAAGTGACATGACGTTGCTCACATCAGCAAACCATTCATGTGGCAAGGGAAGAAAGAGAGAAGAAGAAGAGATTGGATTTATATCCCGCCCTTCACTGCCCAAAGGTGTCTCAGAGTGGCTTACAAACTCCTTTCCCTTCCCCTCCCCACAAAAGACACCCTGTGAGGTAGGTGGGGCTGAGAGAGCTCTGACAGAAACTGCTCTTTTTCAAGGACAGCTGTGCCAGTTATGGCTTCCCCTAGGTTACATCAGCAGGTGCAAGTGGAGGAGTGGGGAATCAAACCCGGTTCTCCCAGATTAGAGTCCGCGCACTTAACCACTACACCAAACTGGCCGCTGCATGTAGTCATCCCTGGACTCCTCCTGAAAGAGGAGGTCTTTGAGCCCCATTCTGGTGAGGGAGGCCCTGACCATTCCAATCAGAGACCCTGCACTCCAACTGACCATGTCTCCTCTTCCTCCAGCCACTACGGGACCGTGCACTCCACCAAGAACATCCTGGAAGACATCAGCAACATGTTTGATGATCTAGCAGAGCAGCTGGATGCCATGTTGGACTGAGGGCAAGCTCCTCCTCTCCTGGGCTGCAGGTTTCTTCTCCTGCCGCACTGTGCTTGACTAATGGACAGCCCTGAGTAGGTGGCCCTGCAACTACTTCTGATCTCCGATTTCTGTACATTGCCACGTTGCTCACCTCGCAGCTCCCATGGGGGGGGGGGACAGGGGTGGGGGGGGACAGTCTCAGGCATAACACCTCGCTTAGGCTAACTGCAGCCAGTCACACTCTGGGACCCGCGTCTCTGAGATGCTACTTGGACTCGCTGTTGAGGAAAGGCTGATGCCAGAGAGCCTCCCCTGAGCCTCTGGCCTCTTCCAAATGCAATACCCCAAACATCTCCATTCCTGCATTTTGTCATTTACAGGTTGCCAATAATATGTCACCGTGGGTGGTGGCAGCAGCAAGGGGACCAGGCACTCAATAAGGACCACTGCCCTTGGTTGCCAAAGTGGAAAAAGATTGGTAGGCTGGCACTTTGCAGAGCAAGACAAGTCCTTGCTGCTTCCCCCCCCCCCCCCAAACACTAGGAGAGAAGTACCGTGTAATCTGGGTGGATTGAAATCCTCCCCCTCAGTTCCCCCTTCTCTTCTTCTAAAGCAGCTGGCCAGACTCAAAAGTTCTCAGAGGAACAAACTGGGCTCAACATTTCAACAAGAAGCTTTTCAGTGGGACTGAAAACTACTTGACCTTCTTTCCAAGTACCTTGGCCGTGTTCATCATGCCTGGAGTGGGAAGGGAGGGGAGAGGTCTTCCACTCCCCCCCCCCCTTCTGTAGTATCTGGGGGGGGGGAAATGCTGATTAGTGTTAGAGTGTATATAGCACCCTCTTGTGACAAAGGGATGCCTATCATATCAAATCACTCTCCGTTGTAGCTGTATGAAAAGTGATTTTTTTTGCCCCTCAGCTGCAAATCCTCTTCCCTTGCCCTTTGTCCTATAGGCAACAGATATGACAGCCAAAAGAGACACGTCCTTTTTCATAAAATGAACTCTGGCAGGACTTGGGCAACTGACAAAGCTGCCTCCCAAGGCCCTTACTCTACAGCAAGAGGCTAACTGAGCTGCTTGTCCACAGTGAGCTAAGCAGCCCATTGCTTCTTTGAAAACAGGGCCCAGTGGACAGTCCCACCTCCTTCATGGTGTTCTGCACTGAAGAGGAAGACCTTGTGCATCTGTATACCATATATTTAAACAAGACCAAGATGGTGCCAAGCTGGCCTAACATGACCAAGCAAGAGAGTGGAAAACAAAATTGCACAATTGGTACTTGCGTGCCATATGCTGTGAATGGAATAAAAACCACCAGGGAACCGTGTTTTAGAATGGAAAATGAAATGTACAGCCCAGCGCTGGGCCAGCTATGCCAGCAGTGAAGGCATACATGGCAATTCAAGTGTTTAGAATTAGAGTCCTTGATCCTGGTATCATTGGGAAGGCTTCTGCAGAGAGTTTCAATGCAGGATTTAAAAAAAACAACACATAAACTTTTAATGGATCATGGATGGGAGCCTCTGCCGACACTGGCATTCGCCTGGGAAGATCAAAAGCAATAAGCCTGGTTGCATTTTAGAGCTACCACAGAGCCTAACATGGCTTTGGTGCAAATTTTCTGCTGTACAATACCCTTTCTCTTTGGACCCATAGCATTAGGGCTATTTTTGGGCAGGAACGCACAGGAACGGAGTTCCGGCTGGCTCCCGAGTTGGCCACGCCCAGCAGGAACTTATTAGCATACTAGGCCACACCCAACAGCAGAAACTCATTAGGATTGGCTACATTAGGGGTGTGTGGCCTAACATGCAAAGGGTTCCTGCTACAAAAAAAGCCCTGGGTTTTGACAACAAACAAGGTAAACAGAATAACAAGCAAAAGGTGGGTGTAGCTGGATAACCACACTTCTGATAACATGGGGGTGCGGCCTAATGTGCTAATGAGCTGTGCTGTCAGGGGTGTGGCCCAATATGCTAATGGGTTCCTGCTGTTGGGTGTGGCCTATTATGCTAATGAGTTCCTGCTGGGCTTTTTCTACAAAAAAAGCCGTGCATAGCATCAAGCAGATTTGCCATGCTCCGGCTGATAGCCAGAGCCAACAGGATATTTTTTTTAAAAAAAATAGCTGCAACCAGTGGCATCTGTATAAAGGTTGAAAGAAGCCTTTTTTCGTTGTTTTTTTTTTAAAGAAGGTTTTGAATTTCACACTCGCTGACATGGGACGAGTCCATTTTTTTCACTGTTGATAAAATTGTAATTTTTTTAAAAAAGAGAAATGTATATATTTTTTAAGTGTGGTTTGTTATATATTTACTAACCAGAGGCCTGTTGTACTTTAGGGTCTGGGATGGAATCATGTTAATGTCTGAGCCACACTCAGGTGCAGTCAAATGCTGTTCTTGTTATCACTATTGAGGGAAATCCATCTTATTTTTTAAGAACTCGTCCTTTATTGTAAAAGATATTGTATGCTGTTTAAATTATGTATGGATGGCAAAGGTGTCTAACCAACCTCGGTCACGTCTGCAACCATCAGAGAGGCAGATTTAAACCATCTGGCCCCACTGGTTTTAATCATGACTTCTTGTATTCCACTAACATCAGTTGCAACTTAATGGTATTAAATGCAGGGGACTGTTTCCCCCTTTTGATGCGCGTGTTTGGCTTGCTTAACCTCCTCTTCTCCATCAGTTCCCAATTCAGGGTGTGCATGTCTCTTCTGTTTTAAATTAACACGGCTGCTACCTCCCAAGGAAAGACCTGAAAAGTTGTTTTTTTGGAAGTTATTGAGAGTCAGTTTTCACTGTACAGGTTGTACTTGCTATGGTGATCGCAGTAGAAAATACATATGCATCCCAGTAAATGTGAAGTGCCTGCGTGTGTAATAGTTGGGGTGGGGAAGTATCAGCCTCTCCCCCACCATTACCTTACTGGTGTATTTCATCAGTACCTGACAGAAACTGTGTGTGTTCACAACAAAAATTAGCCCTAACTATCCAGCCAAGCAATGTAAGGTTGTGCAAGAAAACCTCATCATCACAAGTAATTCTGATTGTCCACATAGCTTATTTTATACCCCCCCTTCCATAAGCCATTAACATAAGAACATAAGAGACGCCAATGTTGGATCAGGCCAAAGACCCATCCAGTCCAACACTTTGTGTCACACAGTGGCCAGAAATCCCAGGTGCCATCAGGAGGTCCACCAGTGGGGCCAGGACATTAGAAGCCATCCCACTGTTGACCCCCCCCCAAGCACCAAGAAGACAGAGCATCGCTTGCCCCAGAGCCCCTATCTATACCTTGTGGCTAATAGCCACTGATGGGCCTCTGCTCCATATGCTTATCTACTTCCCTTTTGAAGCCGTAGCCACCACCACTTCCTGTGGCAGTGAATTCCATGTGTTAATCACTCTTTGGGTGAAGAAGTACTTCCTTTTATCCATTCTAACCCGACCGCTCAGCAATTTCATGGAGTGCCCACGAGTTCTTGTATTGTGAGAAAGGGAGAAAAGTACCTCTTTCTCTACCTGCTCTATCCCATGCATAATCTTATAAACCTCGATCTTGTCACCCCTCAGTCGTCGTATCTCCAAGCTAAAGAGCCCTAAGCGCTTTAACCTTTCCTCATAGGGAAAGTGTTCCAACCCTTTTATCATTTGAGTTGCCCTTTTCTGCACTTTTTCCAAAGCTATAATATCCTTTTTAAGGTGTGGTGACCAGAACTGCACACAGTATTCCAAATGCCAGATGGAAGAAAAAAAACAGAATCAAGAAGATACTGGGAGGGAGCTATTTTGCGGAAGAAAGGAAGCTGACCCACACCACAATATTGGCCAATATTGCATCAATAGGAGGAGACACACAAATAAGAACTGAGTACCGAGACAGAGCTGGCATAGTGGCTATGAGTGTGCTCTTGGGAGTCCCTAGTTCAAATCTTTGCTTCCTGTACACCAGTCCCACCCATCGCCTCCCGAGAAGCCAACGATGCAAGGACTGCCTTACATGGATCTTGCACAAGTGAGCTCTGCAGTTGCTTCAGTGTCCACCAATGTTCCCTCTAAGCTGTGGAGTCTCGTGAGCAGAAATTCTACTTTGTGGGCTCCTGGCCTTAAAGTTGTGAGTGAGCAATTTGGCTACTGCATAAATCAGTATGCTCTGGAGCCATCCTTCCTGAGCTAAGGCAAAGATACGTGAGCCGGAGGCTAAAAAAACTGTGAGCTAGCTCACACCAACTCAGCTTAGAGGGAAGACTGGTGTCCACCCAGCTTGCTTCCAGAGACAAACAGACCAAGGCCCATCGAAGTGTACAGTATCAAAGACAATTGTTTATTGCCATTCTTATCAGTTGCTCTTGTTACTTTTTATACAATTTACAAGTTTAATACAAATCTATTTCTTTACATACATCCAAAAAGGTTTTCTTTAAAATATAAAATGTACACCGTTTAAAAACAGTTTGATGGGGGAAATTCATTCCAAAAAGGTGTGCCCATGCTTTTCTGAAGCCCTGGCTAGCCACAGAGGAAGGGACCAGGAGTGAGGCAATAAGAAACATCCATCAGAAGTGCTCAGTTACTCATGTGTCGACTCCAACAGAGCACAATCAAGGGGGAGGAGGAGGAAAGGTGTATGATGGGCAGAGAGGAGAAACATTCCCAGAGTAATCAACCTTCACAAGCAAAAACCTACAGAAAGTCTATTCTTTAGCAAGTCTGATGCAGTTTTCTTTTTTGTCAGCTGTTGCCTTTTAAAATCACCCAAGAAAATTCCTGTGGCAAAGGGCCTGAGGCCTTTAGGACCCCGTTTAGTTCAGAAAGAGGAAAGGTGAAGGGTGGCTGCTGAAATGTGGCAACAAAAATTAAGGTCTGCCTCTCGAGAAACAGTTCCGCTTCCAAGTAAGTAATATGTCCCCTTCCCCCCACCCCATTAAACTCAGCTAGAGATTCAAGGCCCAAGCTGGGTGCAAAGGTAAGCATCTTTCAGAGCCTTCAGATGCACGTCCTGGCCAACTGAAGCCAAATATGACCTCGACACTGGGGAGAGGACTGTAGTATGTGGGAGTTGGTAGCTGGCTGAACCAGAGCACACTCTCTGAAGCTCATTCTCTCTGGAGGCCCAATCAATGTATTTCACTGTAAGCAAGACCTTTAGTTTCATATTGGGGAAAGCAACTTTGGGGGGGGGATTAAAAGGGGTTGTTTTTAAACAATTTCCAGATAATAATTTGTTTAAAAATTAAAAGCAACCTATTGGTCAGATTCCCAGCCAATGTGCACAAGAAAACTTTGTAGAATTTTCCACGTGCTGATGACTTGAAAGTCCACCACTCTGGTGTTAGCACTACATTTTTTTAAAAAAATTCCTCCAGTTACCAGATATATTCCCCTTTTCCATCCTTAACAAAATCCAGCAACAACGCTGCACTTTTGGCCTCACCGGGGATTTTATCGGGAAATTTAAACGCCATATGCTCGCTGAAGAGGTGGGTATCTCAGATTTAACCACAGTTAAAACAGAAATGTAGTATTCTAGGGGTGTTTTTTTTAGAGTTTTGCACATTTAGTAACTATGGGCCAATGCTTTCAAGCATATTTAGCCATCTGAGCTAAATGAGATTGGGCCAAAATTCCAGAACTCCCTGGGAGCTATGAATATTTGAAATCAGTTGTATACAGTATCCCAAAATATGAACATTGTACTTTTCTAAGTGAGACCCCGTGTCCGGCTGAGGAAGAGACTGTTCCTAGACAGAGCAGGCTGGAAAACAAAGGTTAGAAAGCAGAGGTAGCTCTGGTTTTATCTTGTCAAAAAGGAACATCCAGAATTTACTCATCATGACTGAAATTTGGCAGGTGAGGAAGATAATGGATCGAGGAGGACATGAGTTCTCACCAGTCCTGGGAGACACCCCTACGACTGACCCTCTCTGTCTTTAGGGAATAAATCTTAGAACCTGACCAACCTGGCTTGAGAAAGGATGCTCCAAAACAGCAGGTAACTATAAGATCACCCTCCTGGGCCTTAAAAGGCTCTAGGTCCAGCCTCTAAGAGGGCACGGAGGACACAGATGAGCAGCAACTATAGATCACGGCCAGGGCCTTAAGAGCTCTTGCCCTGCAGAACTCAGGGAACACAGGTTTATAAACAGACAAGGATGGACGATTTGCCCTGGCACTGACGGCATCCATTAGAGCCAGAGAACAGACGTTGGAGATCTATGACTGATCTTCTGTCCCTTTCAACTTTTACAAACAGCAGTTGCAGGAAGAGTGCAGGATTTGGATCAATGCCATGGCACAGTGCACACAGCACTTTTTTTGCTGATTTAAATCAGGTCTTAGGACGTGCTGTTTGTCCCATTCCATAACAAGGCAAACACCACCTCTATGGAGCCAATTTATACCGGGGAAAGGGAACAAATAGTGGAGAAATCCCTCTCACTCAGCACTGTGGTCCCAAACTAAATTGAACCCTCCCCCCCAACACACAAACAATAGCTATTATCTATAGAAATTTAGAGATGGGAACATGGGAGGTGAACCAATATCTGGATTAGTTTGGGGGCCCCCATCACCAATCTGATACAAGAGTTGGGGGCAAGGCGACCATTAAATTTTATAGCATGTTGAAAACAAAAACGTAGAGCCAGAACACATTTGGCTTAGCTTATCCTTTGGGGCTAAAAATCCCACAACCGCTGCGATCCCTTTA